CCCCCCCCCCCCTCCCCCCCCCCACCTGTTTTGTGTGTCAGCTCACGGAGATGGGATTCGCGGAGGTGAGGGCGAAGAAGGCGCTCATGTTCGGCAACGGCAACGACCTGGAGAACGCTGTGAACTGGATCATGGAGCACCAGGAAGACGCAGGCATCGACGACCCCATTCCGGAGGGCGACCAGCCGCCGGCGGCGGGGGGGCCGATGGACGTCGACAACGGCACAAGTGCTGCGGGTAAGAAGCTTGTTCGTGTCTCCTGCGTTGATCTCTCTCCTGGTGTCTCTTGTCTAATACGGGAGCGACCGACCTAACGGTTGTTGTATCTGTGCGCAGGATTGTTTGTTGAGCTGGTGTTGCGGGTAAGCTTGTGCGTGTCTCCAGCGACACAGGTTCTGTGCGAGGAACGAGGATCTGCTTTGTGGATGTCTCTCGTGGCGTCCGTCTGATGGGCGCGACCGCCTTAGATTGTTTTGTTGACTTTTTTTTTTCGGGGCGAACAGGTGTGAGGGTGTCGATATTCATTGGTGGTGTATCCCACGAATGAAAAGACTGTAGATGATGAGTGTGCTGTGTGTTTCGGATCGTGAGGTCGGGAGGTAGTATTGTAGGCGTCTTGATCTTGATGAGAGATTTGTGGCTGAGGATGAGACGCCTGGTTGTGTGTTGTTGCCGTCAACGGCCAACGCCGCCGCTGCTGCTGCTGCTGCTGCTTCTGCTGTAGCAGGTGGCGTGGCGCAGAGCTTGAAGTGCGACGACTGCAATGTGACCCTCAAGGACATGGCGGCGGCAGAGTTGCACGCCAGCAAGGTAACGCACACACTCGCACGTGGTTTGTTTTTCGTGACTTTCGTGCTGCAGGCATTCTCCCGTCACACCCCTCATGAGACTCCTTTCGACTTTGTCTCCTCACGCACGCATGTACCCGCCACCCTTTGTGAAACCCCTATTGATTTTTGAAGTGTCTCTCCCTCAAGCTTGTAGCCTTTCTTTAGCTGTCTTACTCCAGGCGCTTCACCTGACGAATGAAACAAGCCCCCGTCCCGCGTTTCCCTTTTCTTTTTCTGAAATCTGGAAAGCCGGGGGGGGGGGGGGGGGGGGGGGGGGGGGG